ATATAAAATTAATATAAAACCTAATTCCACTTAAATTACATAATTTTATTAGATTTTATTAAATTTTTTATATCACCTAATTTTTAAAATCAAATACAATTAATTAATTAAAGTATATGTAAGATTTTCCAACAGACGATTCTTTTGCACTGTCATTTGCCCCGAATTAGTCCTCAGAGCATAAGTTTAAGACCTATACCTAGTTTTTTTTTTTTTTTTTTTTAAGTATCTTTTTTTAACTATTACAATTGGGTACATAAAAAAAAAAAGAATCAAGACTTAAATTTTATATTTTTAAATACCGTGACGCTTTTCAAATGGGTTGTTGAGCTACAATGGTCGGTAAAGAAAACATCTATTGAAACTTCAAATTGATGGATGTTTTGGCTGAAATTATGAATTGTTTCTAACATATATTTCTGAAAAGAAATAAAAGTATCAATCTTTAATTTCCAATGAAATCTGTAAATCATTGAAGAAGACCTTGACCAAGAATGTGTTGATTCTCCGTCATCTTCTCTGCAAAGCCAGCAGCTTTGCCCGTCTGCAAACATGATTTTTCAGTCCGTAAATGATAGCCCATGGTTATCCACTTATCCATGTCTAAACCGGCTGTCTGAGATGGAGAACGATGGTGCTGTGGCCCGTAATTTTTTGTCGCGGAGGAGAAGGGGATACGTTATAAACCCTGAGGGCAGTGAAGGCCTTTTCTCCGTAAACAGCGTTAACGACATCTTTGTTTTACATTAAATGCACCCTGCTATTAAACCCAAAGGAGTCAATATCGTATCGTATCGGTCGGTACGTACCGATTTTAAAAGTTAACCGAAACGGAATAAGTTAAGATTTTGTTTTGGTCAAATTTTGGGTGTATCGGTTAAATTTTGATGTATCGACCGAAATTTCGGGTACCGGTTGGTACATCGAAATTTGACCGGTAACTATGCAAGAAGGAAAAAAAAAAAAAAAATCCCCAGCCAAAACAACGTCGTTTTGGCTGGAGGGTGGCGGTAGGACCGCGAGATACCAGGCGGTAACCCGATCAGGCGGCCATAGTCTCTCGAAACCAGCAGGAGCGTCGCGGTGGGCGTCAGATCTGGCAGCCCTCGCGCACGCCGCCACAGATCCACTGGAGGAGAAAGAAGGTCGCCGGATCTGCACCGAACAGAGCAAGAAACAGCAACCAAACAAAGCAACATATAAACAAACAACCCAAAAAAACCCACACAAAACAAAAAACAAAGCCAAATCAGCAAGGGATGGTGAAGATCCGAGGTGAAAGAACGAAGGTGATGGTGGCGATGGTGGATCTGCAGAAGGGAGAAAAATCAAGGTTTTTTTTTTT